AACATGCAACATGCAACAAAACTTTCACCAACTCTTTTTGAAATAGCTGTATACCGGATGGGGTTAATTGCCAGTAACGAGTACTGGAGAAGCGATCGTCATTTTGTGACAAGTAACACGGAAAACATACATACTCTTTGTCCTTATTTCAATTTGTGCACTCTCCTTTCCACGAATACCATTTTCATTTTCAGCTACAATCCTTACTGTGTATGGACTATTGGACTCTAGATCTAAGGTTAAAAAAGATCCAATGATGATTGCATTGGTCGACCTTACTTTGCTCTACTTCTCCATCCATCCATCCGTCCGTCCGTCCGTCCGTCCGTCCGTCCATCCATCCCCTCCATCCCCTCCATCCATCCATCCATCCATACAATTTGTCTTTAAATGAGTCACCTGTAACTTTTGTCTTTTGGCCTTTTAACGTCGTTGTCTTTTCCTTTTCTGACGCAAACTTCCAATATTCGACGAAGTACCCTTTTATAAAGTAGTACTCATGATTCAGAGGTTGATCCCATGCGATTTCGACTGCATCTTTGAATATTTCTACCACAGTCACATTTTTAGGTGATGGCGGAGGTGCTAAAAACAGATAGGAATAACTAAACTTTCAGAATATCATTTTTAAAGTCATGGATTTTCGGTATTATTTCTTTTGTGTTTTATTTGTACCCTCTGTTCTTTTGTAGCTGATTTTGGGAAACTATTATTGGGCATTTTTATAGGAAGCAGTTGAGTCCACGGTTTTACCCACAACCGCTGACTTGTTTTTCAGCACTAAATATCAGTTTTGAAATCATGGGTTTTAAATTGATTCGTTGCTGATGTTTTTGTGGCAAAAAAGACTAGAATTATGAACTATGGAATCGTTATTTCATGACGATGATGACGATGATGAATTTTTGTAGAATTTCTCGATATATCTTATTATTACGGGTTGTTATTTTGTTATTGAATTGGTCCAGGAGATTAAGCTGAATGACTTTTAATTTAGCTGGAGTAAACCATGTTTCCTTTCGGTCAGTCCGATAACCTCAATTTCGACTCAGTCTATAATTTAGTCGTACTCTGATACGGAATAGGGAAGCGCGGGAGACGTAGTGATGAGAGCGCTCGCTTCTCACCAATGCGACCCTGACTCGCTGTCGTATATGTGTTTTTCTCTGGGCTCTCCAGTTTTCCTCTCTCTGCAAAAATCAACTTCTAAATTCTAATTCGATCTAGAAGGGCCTGGATGAAGATTACCCTGTGTAAATCCAGTTACCCTACCAAATTGTGTAATTTTTTTCTGATTTAGATATTGTTTTAGTGTTCTATAAAAATGATGCACGGTTACGTTTTTTTGGTTATTTGCGGGTCCCAGAGGTTTGTCCAATATCTAGCGTACTTATCTATATCAGCTCAGTGGCGGATCAAGAAAGATTTCAAGGTGGTAACTGTTACCTAGAAAGGTATCAAATATCGTCCTTATTCATAATTCTTCTTGTATTTTAACTTCAAAGGGGGGTGACTAGCCATTCAATTCACCCCCCCCCCCCCATATGGACCCGCCCTTGAAAACTGGAAACATACCAGTGAACCTTTTGCTTTTCTAAATTGAATCCCAAAATTCGACGTAAACGTGGTGAGCAGCCATTCCAATCAACCCTCTGGATCCGTCCTCTCTGCTTCAAATCTAGTTCCTTACTTTTATTTAGTTCCATGAACTTGGGATCTTTATCCACTTGAAGTCCCTCCACCCTTCCTGTCTTTGCTTTATTCAAAACTGTTTCAGTAATAAGAACTGTCCTTCTAGCCACTGTGCTTTTATATTCGTTATTTTTCACGACAACAACGACGACAACTCGAAAACGCACTCTAACACTGCCATTACTGAAATACATAATATTGAATTTGATTAGAATCCTCATCACGAGATCACTTTTAAGCAATTATGATCTTCAAAGTCATACTCACAAAATYTCTAAAATTTCTATTCCGGCGTAGCCATCCAAAGTTTTGAAAACGATGTTCATCTGGAAATAAAATGTTCAAGAGTAAGCGGACAACGACCATGATGAAATTTGGGGAAACTTCTTACCTCTTACCGACACGGCGCCGGAGTGACATAGCCCCTATACTACTTCTTATGCCAACAGCATTGATGCTTTCTATTCTTCCATTGACACATCTAAAATATAAGGTCTAAACATATGGCATGGCCCGTTTTCTGTGTAGGAATGTTCGTTTAACGCATCCTTGGGTAAAAAAGAAGCGACTTTATCTCACCTGTTCTTTGAAATTTTGCACGAAATCTTTGTACTCAGGTGATGTTTGATCTTCTAGTTCTTTGGTGAAATTCCGGTTTAAAATACGCAACGCCATGTAAACTTTAATTGTTACTATAAAGAAAAAAATTTGTTTTGAGTTCTCTGAGTTGCTCAGGCTTAGCCTCGATTTTGCGTAAAATAGTGATGTGTTCTAGTGAAGGCCCGTGGAATTTCAAAGCGTTTGTATTGTTGAAGTTGAGCATTCCTTTACTTTACCGTTGGCACTTGAGTATGTAATCAAGGAACACAGCGGTAATTTGCAACTCGAAAATGGTCTGTTGTACTCGGAAGTGGCCTTAAAACAACAAGATAAAAGTACAGCCGTGGCTACATAAGGAGTTTTTAACTCAAATTGCAAGAAATGGCGGTATCCATTGATTACCTGACTTACCATTCACCATTGGAGTGAAAAACGCCTGCGCATGCTCTCAATCCGTATGCAAATTAGTCAAAACATAAGTAAATTTGACTTTCAAACATGCCTTATAAATTGGACTTCACAAAATACCCAAACTTAGTGTCCATGCTTGAAACTTAAGGCTAATTGCCTTATATTGTGTTTGTTAATATATTGTTATATATATGTTGTATCTTGGTCTGACAAAAGTAGTCGATAAATGTTTTGTATACTCGGAGTAAACCAACATTTATTTTCTCACTCAAACTCTTCAAAATTCTTAGAAAACGTTCTGAAATGCACTCATGTGCAAACGTTTTTCTCTAGTTTCCCAATGGTGTTACAAGACTGCACCAGCGTCACACGTATCATCGTCGAGTCGACAGAGAACCATAGCGGAAAGATTGAAAATAGCCTTTTTTAGTACGTGAGTTTTATTGTTTAAAGGGCGCAACAACAGGACAAACAACCATCGCGCGAACTTCCTGTATTTTCATTGTCGTTTAGCCCCAATTCATCAATATAGTTTCACGACACATATCATATCCTTTCGTAAATAATCGTTTTCATTTGTTTATGCAACATTTAGCGTGGATTCCGTGGATAGTTTAGATAGCCGGCTGTAAATATATAGTTGACTGGTGGATATTTTATAAAAAAAATAAATGACTAGTAGATGATTTACCTGTACGCTTTCCGTAGATGGCAAGTTGCATGCATGTTCTACTCGCAGGACTATTGGAGAAGATTCGTACTCCTTTGGTTTGATTGATGAATACATAATGACAAGAACCATTTGGGCTGGAGTGAAACTAAAGAAATATGAATAATGTTTAGCTAACAGCTTACCTATATACCTATTACAAAGATGGGTGTCATCGCCAAAGGCGATAGGCAATAGGTGATAGGCGAAAAGCGATAGGAGATTCAAGGTCATTCCAAGATCCAAGTATAGCTGGAATGACGTGTAGATTTCTGCTTGTTATTCTCGTCAAGAACTTGGACCTTAGCGTTGAGTCTAATTCAATGTCATCATTGAATCATTTTCGTCTCGGAATGACGCTTATCGCCATTGGTAATGAAAACATTTTTTGAAATACGCATATCAACTACAGCAATACCTTTTATTGCATACACCTATTCAAAAAACGTTGTCAGTCAGATATCTGAGATGGGCGATGTAAGACTAAAAAGAATTTTTGTGCTTTTATATTTTTTTGGCTAAAATCACATTTCTATCTCAAAGGTTGTTCATYGTTCTTTCAGTCTCGAGGTAACCAGAAATACTAAGTATAAGTAATCCGCAAAAAGAATGAAAATGGGAACTTTGTAGTATGCGATTCATATCCTTGGTTGGTTTACATCATGCCAAACCAAACCCTGGTGCTTATCGAAAAAATATCTTCCCAACTATCCATTCAACTCTTTTCTACATTCTACGCATTCTTTCATTGGCTCAATCATGTGTCCGTGCATTCTCTCGTTTGTTTGCTTCTTGCTAGCTTCCTAMAACAAAGAAAGCAACTATTACTGCCGGACATTACTTACTTCCAAAAAGTGGTGATACGGTACTAGAGATTCAGTTTCGTCCAAGTATTCCAAGAAAAAG